CTCCCTTGATCTACCTGTAGAATAGTGATATCCGTTAGTAGTATTCTTAGTTTGCTCTGATACCAACTGTAACGCTCAATTTTTTTTTTCTTTACATCCAGTTACTACAATATGTCATCTCAAACTTTTAGTATTACTTTCGCTCAAAAACATAATAAATTCGTTAAAATTTAATTCAATTTAGTCATTAGATGTCTAATAATATATTAATAAATTAAGTCGTTAGTTTTACTGAATCAATTATTATATGTCGATCGCCGGTAATCTATAATACATTTATGAAATGACAAATTATATATTTTTAATGAGATTTGAATTTATGATAATTCAATAGAACACAAGTATCTCGATCACTGAGCCGCTATATTATTAGTGAGGGAAAAGTATGCTTTATTATACGAAAAAAATATATATAGTACAAATTAATAATTAAGACATATGTTATACTTTTAAAACAGAGAATCTTTTTGTACATGATTAGTGATTAACATAATTGATTGACATGAATAATTCATTAAATAGTATGATAGAAGAATTATTTAATCATTCATATATTATGATCAATTTGGTAGCAGGAGATTGATATAACATTTTAACTAAATATGGATGATTCTTCTCTTATGCAAAATTCGAAAGAGGATAAAAATGTCTACATATATACTAAAAAATATTATATTAAGATTAATATTTTTATGATGCGAACAAAAATTTTTGAAAATAAAATTAAAATAACAAATAAATTGTTGCTATTTGGAGAGTTTGTATTCCTGTGAATTAGTGTTTTGAGTATAAATCATAAACCAAATTAAATTACATCATTTATCCCCAAAAACTTAAATTTCAAGAAACAACTATATAAATAATGAAAATTTAAAATAGCTAAATGTTATAAATAATTAAGTATATAATAATTATAACATAATAATATAATATGTTTTGTATATATGATGCGAATGTATAATATAAGATATATATATTGAAGGAAAATCGAACTGAATTACAGTATTTCAATTCAAATCTAACAGTTTTGTTTGATTTGGTAGAAAATTTTACGCAATTTCTGACCGCCTATCCATATCTTTCGTGAATGTTTTCCATGAAAGCTGACACTTATTTTATCTATCAATCTATAATTATTATCCAAAGCTCTTTGACCCAACTTATTATATTCCCTTTGACAATTTTTTTTATTTTTTTTATTTTTATATTTTAATTGATTAAATCAAATCGTATTTTTAAAATTACGTCATAAGACGTGTATTTTCTTTTCCCAATTAGAAGAAATATTATTATCCTCGCGTCATAATTATTTTATTTTAAAAAAAAAATTTATTCTTATATTTAAAAATAAATTTTTAAAAAAAAATATCAGAAAGTACAAATATTAATTAAAAGAAAATTCATTGATTGCGAAAGGGGTAGATGGTGGATGAGATATTTTTAAATTCTTCTTTGACGTGGGCCCATTCGGGAAAAGGGCTCAAGAGGTGGTCCCCACCTAAAAGGGAATGGAGTGGATGTGGGCCCGTTGTCATTCATTAACAAAGAGACCTTTTTATGGGCCCCCGGTGAAAATGATCCAATAGCTGTGTCTTGTTTCATATGGCCCATTCCCTTACACTTTGGGCCCACTCACCTCCAAATTATTATCGCTTAGTTCTCTCTCTCTGCAGTCTTGTGCTTTGGGCCCACTTGGACTCTCAATTATTTTATATTTTCAGCTTTTAAATATTAATTTATTTGTTTTTAATTTCAATTTCTATTTATAAATTCTAAAATTGACTAAAAATAAAATAAAATAAATATAAGAAATTAGGCTATAAAAGGTGGAAAAAAATGTAGTTTTTTAAAAAATAAAGAATGTGCCAACAAGCTCTTAAATTTTATTTTTGTTGGTACATCTCGCAAAATCTTCATGTCTGATGAATTTTAAATAATATTTATTATTCTAAATGTTTATATACACATAAGAACAATATATTGCAAAATCAAATAAAATTTGCCTATTATTATTTATTAATAAGAAACTCAAATGCTTTTATTATATAAATTATATAAAGGGGAAGAATTTTGCTCAAATAAAATATTTAACTCTTTATTATAAATTATGAATAAAATTTATAGTGATATATTAAGTAATTTAATTTAATTTACTTATTTATATAAAACTTAGCTATTGATATTGAACCATCTCAAATAATAAGTTTTAGAGTTGATATTTTTTTATATTATAATTGAATTTTTCTTGACCATTGATTATTAACATACACTAATTAAATGATATTTTATATATTATTTATTTAAGATATTATATGTATCTATCTTATCTCAATATATTTTTTAATATTTGTTAAGTATATAATATTATATTATAGGTGACGTATTTAAAATATTTAATAATATTACCTATAAAATATAAAGATTTTACATATACATCACAAGTGAAGTTATGTGATAGCTTATCTAAGGTGCATTTAGATAATAATATTAAGATTACTCAAAAAATTAATCAACATCAAGTACCATTTTTAAGTAATATTAAATATTTTCAAATATTATTAAATATCTATATAAATAATTTAAAAATATTAGATATTGTTTGAGTAAGCGAATAGTTTTTAATATGCACATAATAGTTTTAGATATATTTCAATAATAAAAAATATATGTGGGCTAGATAAGTAATATTTTACAATAAATTTTGATATATATGTATATATATATATGTTTAACACATGATAGAGCTCATTAACACATTTTTAAGCAGATATATACATATATTTTCATATGTTGTATGATATATACATATCTTTGCATTACTTTTTAATAACTATTAATAAGAAGAGTTAATTGTAGATCTTACTTGAAAATAAGGATTTTTTTATTAAAATTTTAAATAATCTCTAACTTAATTATTATTTTATTGCTACAATTTTATTAATATATTAATTAATTTTTTTCAATTAAATATTATAACTCGTCATTATTAATAGAAAATGCACCCACAAAATAGTAAAATTTACATTTTAAATCAATTTTATATTTGTAGTATTTAAATAAAATATAAAAAATTTAATCAATAATGTAGTACATGTGCATATATATATATATATATATTTCCTAAACAAATAATTTTACCAATTAATTAAAGTTTTTTATCCCATAAAGTGGAGTATATTCTCAATATTCCACATCTTGTAATCTTGTTTGTAGTCTTCTCCTTCTTCATCATCTCCCTCTCCCTCTCTTCAGATTAGCAATACTGTTAGCCATAAACCAATCAACGTCTGCCACGTGGTGGCCATCCCATCTGCCACGTTAACCCCATGATCGATCTCTGCGAACAACTTGTTTCACGGAAGCCCGATGACAGTCTTGTCACCGAGGACTGGTTCGGTTTCATCGGCGCCGATCCAAAACCCGACAACATCAGCTTTTGCACCCTCCTTAATGTCATACCTTCCGAGCTGGTTCCAGATTAGGATCTTCCCGGCTTCGTTGAAGCCGTCGAAGCTCCCTTCGAACAGCTTCTTGACCGGCTCCAGCAGCCGGTTTCAGCCACTATAGCCGACATTTCCATGCCTTTGGCTGTCCATGTCGAAGATCAGACGAATATTCCGGTGGGTCTCGCTTCGAACCCAGTCGGCAACAGTGTTCTCGATGTTTCTTCACTTTGATCTCCTTGTAGAGAATCGGCATTTCCCAATTCGATTGTCGGGTAAGTGAAGCTTCCATTAAAATACTTCACGCACACACACACATATGTATAGAGAGCAAGAGAGAGATAGAGAGAAAGAATATGATCCATACAGAAAGTTTTTACTACAAATATTATATAAATAAATGTTTTTTTATATACATTTTTCTTAGAAATTATGTATTAATTCACATAGCTTGTTGACTGATTATACTTTAATTACGTCAAATTATTATTTATTTTTTGAACTATTCATTACATTACCATTAGGTTTATTTTTTCTATTTATAATGTCAGTGATTGTAAAATTATTTTAAGTCACAATTATTTTTATACAATCATAAAAAGTTTTTTCTAATTTTTATACTTTGTTTTTTAAAGTTATATATATTATCACATTAATTTTATTTTAATATATTTATTTATATTAAAAAGATAAATAGATAATTTATATATATAATATTATTTTAAATACAAAGGTATTTAAAAAAATAATAGCAAGGAATTGACAAAAATCACCTTGTGCTAATTTTTTTTTTACATCAATCATTGACTTTTATTTTTCTCTTGTCTTGAAAGAAAATATTTAAACAGGAGATTATAATGGTAGGAATTCCACACTTTTCAAAAGTAATTGTGTTTTCTTTTGCTAATTTCAAAGGTAGATGTCTTGACTCATTGAATCCTACCAACAAAAATATCAAATCTCCCAACAATTTTCTACCAAAGCAATCAACAAGTTTTGAATCCTTTTCACTATTATTCCAAGTTAATTGTCTTCTTTTCGCTTCCATTTATGACCTCGAGCCTCAAGTATTTGACATATTCAAAGTTAAAATTCAATTGTCATCTCTATTCAACTGGCCCTTCAATACCTTATCTGTCACTCCAAAAACAAAAACTTTCATCTGGGTACACTTTCGCTGGCTTAATATTCAACTCCAAAACTCAAATTTATGCGAGGCTCGGTTATGGGTGATCGAAGAATAGAAAGTTTCTTGGTGTGACCAATTTAGAGTATTATATCACCCTTTTATTAGCGGATTCTGGTGTGGAATTTAACTTTTGAAGCCATTAATGCAGATGTACTCGTGTTCCCTTTTCCTTTATTACCAGATCAAGTGCTGAACAGCAAGCGAGTTGTGGAAGATTTGGTGATTCGATGGAGGGCTACAAATGGTTTTGTAGGGGGGTGGAGGTTTTATTACAAGAAAAGAAATTAAAGATGTTGTACAACCAATTTATGGGTTTGAAAATATTAAAGCGTTGGAATTGAGGAGAATACCCAAAGAAATTAGAGAGATTTGTTGACATGTAGATTAGTAAAAGTGGTTTGTCTCTTATTAGTCTTGATTTTTTTATAAAAATTATTTGTTAAATCATACCATAAGTCTTTTAAATGATTTAAAAGGTTCTATTTTAAATTTTATATTAAAATTACGAGTTTGTTCAATAAAATCTCGTAATAATATATTCAAGCTAATTGGTTAATTTTGTTTTTACATTAGAAAAAAAATAATGTAGCCTAACAAAAATGAAAATAAAACATTTTCTCTCAAAGTGAATCATGTTCTATACGGTATAATTGGTGAAATGTATTACCTAATTAGTAAATACAATCTGTTGATAGAGATGAATTTTAAACGGCTTCAAAGAAAGTAAAAGTGGAATAAAATTTAGTCCTACTGCCTAATCAAGCAACAAAGGCAGACATATCTAACCACAGAGAGCATAAAAAATCAATTATGTTCGTCATGTTACATACACTCAAGACCATAAAGGAAATTGACAATGACAATTTTTTTACACCAGAAAATCAAGGACTTGAGCATGAGGAAGTCCTAGCTACTTTCCCAAAACAACATTACATTCATATGACATGTTTTTCCAACAAGGGAGCATTAAATTCCCGAGTATCCTAATCTAAAGGCTATTCCTAACTGAAACTCTTGCCTCAAAATTATAAATTTTCTATCTGTTCAAGGGAAGAGAAATGTGCATTGATGTTTTCAAGCATTGTTTGATCAATTTCCGTCGTTGTAAACAATTTTGGTAGAAAGCCTTTGGATTCTTTACTTGGCAGTAACTCATTCTCGGAAGTCTCCTTATTAGAGACGCTGACATCTTCTGTTTCTGTTTGAGTTGACTGCGAAGAGTGTTTATGGAGCTGGGATTTTATATCCAAGCAAGATTTGAGGTCCTCAATGTTTCTTGCTTTGTTCAATTTTTCAATAAGATCGCTTATAACTGAAGCTCTCTCAGCCGAGCGACATTTTATGGTTTTGGACCCATCATCAATTTCATTTTGGTTGCTTGGGCCACTACCAGCCTCACTTACCTCACCTTTCTCAAGCTTGTTCAATCCCTGATCAACCATCTGTCGTATCCTCTTTCTGAAGTTTTCACTTCTCACTGGGTTTGATCTAAGCTTCAACTTTAGCCCTGAAATCATCATGTCGGCATCATCTTCCACACCAGCTTTAGGTTTCACTATAGGGGAGCCGTCCTCAGCAGAGCCTTCCGGTATAACATTTAGAGACAACACTTCTTCTAGTAAACTAACATTCTGCATGTACCGGTCAAAAGCTTCATTTTCCACTTCAATGTTTCGGTCCTTGTATTCCTTCAACTTGGAAAACCTCCAATCATTAATAGCTAGAGCCTCCTGAATAGTAACTTGGATCAGAAAAACTCTATTCTTACAACCCAAAATAACAATCCGGGAAATATATCAATGTGTTTTAAATTTTTCCGCACCTTTCTGCTCAGTGGTTTCTTAGAACGAAGGGGAACATGCAAATTGTTGAACTGTGCAAAATTATTGGAAAGTTGCCTCAGAGAGATAGCTCTATGTGAACTCCTGAAACAAGGCCCAACAAGAGCATAAAGCACTATATTTCAAAACCAAGTTTGAAACTGGAAAAATACCCAACAGCAACTCATGCGCAGTGAAGTCACATAATCCAATATGGGAAAGCAGCATTACTAAAATCGTGATGAAGAAAGAAAGAAGAGGCAGATCTCCACAAAAACAAATGATATCACAGACAGGAATTTACAATGTAAAGATTTCTTAAAAATGGAAATGCCAAATCATTACCCTTCGATCAACTAAAATCAGGCATGAGAGCAACTACATTTGGAAAAGTTTGCCCCTATTTCAAATTAGAAAAATGCTAGTGAATACATTTCTGTATAGAAAACATTCTTTCCACTTTGTAATAGAAAATATTCTGAACATGGCACTTTAGAGATCTGCATCTCTATACCCTATTAGGCATGAATCATAGTTTAAAAGGACTTGGAAGCTAGATGCATATAACCATGTCTTAAGTGAATTATGCTAGCCACTGACCCTGCAGGAGACACTTCAGTTGATTGTTGATCAAACATTGGAGTGTTTGAAGTTGGTGTCTTCTCGGGAAATGTTGCATTTGCTTTCAGAACTGCAAGAACAGAATAGACTATGAGAAAAGCTGGAGATAATGCAGTCATTCTCATACCATACAATAACAATTAATGTAAGCCAAAAAGTGTATGAGGAGAGGGAGTGATAACAGAAACCTAAATTTTCGAGTTTTTGCTGCTCAGTTGCCCAGTTATTAGTTATCAGGTGCAGTAAGAAGTGTAAAAAGTGCATTCAATTAAGAATGCAATCACACTCACAATAAATGTCAACAATTAACATTAGCCACCAAGGTTGAGAGAGGAGATTCACCATAGAAAACTAACCAAAAGGAGATGATTTACGATGCTCGCTTCTAATACCTTATTTGAATAAATTTTCGTAATAGTTAATTAATATATGGTAATGAAAGTAATTGGATGGTAATGACATAAAATGAGAATAACAAAATTTTTTTATATTTAGATGATTGTATATTAATGTATGTTAATAGTATATTTTTGTTTGGATGATAAAATGGCATTATTGTATTTTTTTAATCAAATTACTAATTTACCCCTACGTATTATATATAATAATAAGTAGTATATAAGAAGTATATAATGAAAAAAAAATTAAATTGTTTACCAATATAATTATATTTATATTTAAATAAATAATTATTACAAATTAAATTTTTATATTTAATAAAATAAATAATAAATTGTGATGATAAAAATAGAATGAAATATATTATACGGGAGTATAAAGGGAAAAAAAATAACATGCCAGTTATATATCACCGATTCGGTAGTTTTAAAATTTATCCTAAATTTGTTGGTCAGATACCATTTGTTACCATTAGAAGTTGAAACAAACATGATTTTTTCACACCCATAAAGTATCATACATTAAAATACTATCATTTATTACAATCTAAACAGGGTGTAAGTTACATGAATTAAGAATCATGATTTACTAGAAAAGTCCAGGGGGAGGAGGCTATTACTGATATGCAATTTGCAGATAATAGGAACAGACATATAAGGTCATAATAACATTTAAACTCTCCTGAGCTGAAAAATTTTTGGAATTAGCAAAGACTAGAATGTATGAAGAAAATAAATGTACCAGTGCAGAAAAAAGACTACAAAATTGGAACTAAATCTGTTGATTTTAAAACAGAAACAAAATCTCGAGTTAATTTTGTCCAACTTATGGGAATTTGAGTTTGTCTAAATGATTTTGGGCATAGGTATCAATACCTTCTGTTAAGTCTTTTTTATTTTGTAGTTACCAATATCTTTTTTCTTCTCTTTTGATAGAAAAAGAAGCACTATTGAAAACAGAAGGAAAAAAATAATAAAAAATATCTTAAAGAAATAGTATCAATATCTTAGTACTGAAAAATAGTAAAATCACCACCGACAGACTAATTTTTTGGAGCAAAATCCTCTTATTACCACCAGAAAATGGCATTCCTCCACTATAAACCGAGTCACCATGGAAAGCTAAAATATGAAGAAAAGTTCGAATACTACTAACATTAGAATATAAAGTGATCAGTTCTAAATTAGCCCTTCAACAGTTTTTCCTTTCTTCTGAAATCCTGAGTGTATGAAACTCTTATAAAAACAATTGATTTATAAGATTAGGCTCATGCTTACAGGGACTACATTTAAAAGGAATGGTTATGATTTAACAATTAAAAGGCACAGGAGATTCTTTGTCGAAGTGTTGTGAGACTAGAGTGGTAACATAGTGAGAGACTAGAATGACAGTCGTTGTAATTTAGCCATTAAAAGCTAGGGACTAAGTTGATTATGGCCTAGCCATCAAAGTGGATTTTGTAATCTACAGTTTAATCAAGGAATTTATAACCTTGACTTGTCAAGGCAATGGATAGAAGTTAACTAGAGATCAAACTATTCTAACAATCGTGTTATTTCTTCTCACTGCTAATATGTTTAATTTTTTTTATTTTAAACAAAACTCCTTGTTATATTATAACATAAGTTACAGTTTGGTCCCAAATAGTAAAGATCATGTTTATATTCTCCTTTTCCAAAAATCTTTGTGATATTACATTTAGGGTTTATATTTGATTTCTTTCTTTACGTAAAAAAAAATATTTGATTTCTTTTTTTTTTTCTTAAAATAAAAAATATAAAGTATCATTAATAAGCACCAAGGAGATGTAAACCCATGTATAAAAATATTTACAAATTAATCATGACATCTATCAAACACCAAAATCTTTTATGGAATACAAAGGTTGACCCATTACGAAAAATCCTAAAGTCTAAAAATATATCACTTTAATCTTATGAATATCTTTCACCCCATCGAACGTCCTCTATTTCTTTCTATTTATACAACCCAAAAATCGCCATTGGAACGGGCCCTAATTGTTTGTCCTGACCAGTGATACCATTCTATACAAAAATTTCATCGCTTAT